AGGCTTTAAAACAGATTTTAAAAGGGTGATCTAGAACAAAAAGAAAATTTAAGCATAATAGGAAAGCAATTAGGAAATCCTGAAGAGATATAAAGGTTATATAAATGTCAACTCTAAATTCTAGAGCAAAGATATATTTAAAATTTAATACACTGAATAGGTTTTACTGCACATTGGATAAGCAAAGAAAAGGTAAAAAAAAAAAAAATAGACTTACATAAATCTTCAAATATTAAAGTTGAGAGAAAAGAACCTTTAAAAGATGAACATAGCTGCAGCAACCTGTGAGATAATGTTATCTAAACATGTTTAATTGAACCCCCAGAAGAATGGGAAGAGAAAATAGGTATAAAAATATATCTTTAAAAACATTGACCAAGATTTCCCCAAATATATTGAGATAGTGCAACTTATAGAGTGAAATACTGAATATACAAATAGACAATGGCTAGATTATACAAAAAAATAGAACTCTGACCCACAACCTCCTGCAACCTGCCCAGGAAACCAACACCCTCATGGACAAAAACTAGCCTATGAAGCCAGCCTGCTACAAGTCAGACATTGTAGGAAGCCACATTGTCCTCTCTAGTAACAATACAGGAAACTGAACAATAACTTATGTAAAATAACTAGGACTTAATTAAAAACTTTCAATTTACATAAATTTTGTCTCTGCTTCCAACTTTAGGCAAACCAGAGAAAGCCAAACATGCACCCCTAAACAATGACATAGGATGATTTGCTTCTAGTTAGCCAACCTACAGCTTCCCCACCTCCAATCAGAGCATACTTGAATTTTTTTTTTTCTTTCTCACACCTCCTGCTATTTTAGAGTATTGAAATTAAGGGTCCTCATGACTTTGATTAAATTTAGTTTTCAGTCTTAGCTCTAGAAATCATACCCATCTCTCTCTATATAGACCCCTCAGAGACATGGCCCTTCCCCAGATAATAAGCAACCCCTGAGGCAGCAGAAGATAGTATCAGGGATGGTCCAGACCTCTGGCAGGCTAAAGATAACATCTAAGTTATGAGTTGGGTTCTTAGAATCATAAGGTCCCCATCTTCGAAATAGCTAATTCAGTATTAAACTATTTTTTTCTTTCTATACTGCAAACTCTTGCTTGATACTTCTTTGGGCCGGTGCACACAGGCAGGCAGACTCAAAGATAAACACTGAGGTCCCAGTAACAGGATCTGCCAAAATGCAAGTGACAGTGGCTTACTTCCTTGCTCTGACAAGCTTTGAATAAATAGCTTTTGTTTACTTTCATTTGTTTGGTTTGTGCTCATTTCCAGAAGATATAAGGAACTCAACACATCATAATAACAGATGGAAACCAAAAATAAAGGGAAAATTTTGAAATGAACAAAAGAAAAGTAGCACATAACATTCAGAGGAATAATTATGCAAATTATAATATTTTTCACTAAATATCTCTATAGATAGGCATGGATATAGATGTATAGAAATAGGGATAGATATATTTGAATAGAGAACTAGGATTCAATGGAATAGAATAAAATGCCAAGATAGAATGAAAGCCCTGGCACCCTGAATTATATATTAAGAAAAAACATTCTTTAAAAATGAAGATGTAAAGAATTGACTTCTGGTATGACAGCATGAGGAGCTCCCCAAATCTTCCTAGCAAAAGGAATGAAAATTATAAACAAAGAACCATTTAAATCCTCTGGAAATGGTTGAAAGGACAAGTCATCCTAAGAGAAAATGAATAAACAGCTCTTTAATGAAACTTATGAAAATTCAGGAATTAAAATGGAAGCCTGTGTAATTTGGGCCAAAACCAGACCTTCTTGCCTCACCTCCAAGCTCAGTGAGAAGTACAAGGCTGCTTGCTGCCAGGGTAACATGACATAGTCTTTTACAGTAAACTGTTTTTGGGGTTTTTTTGTTTTGTTTTCTTAATAAATAGAGTGTACTCTAAAATAATGATAAAGAGTATAGCATAGTAAGTACAGAAACCAGTAATATAATTGCTTATTACCATTATCAAGTATTATGTACTCCACCTAATTGTATGTGCTATACTTTTATATGACTGGCAGTGTAATTGGTTTGTTTACACCAGAATCACCACAAACGTGAGTAACACATTGCCCTACAACAATATGATGGCTATGGTGTGACTAGGTGTTAGGAATTTTTCAGCTCCATTATAATCTTATGGGACCACCATTGCATAGGTGGTCCATTGTTGACTTAAATGTCATTACATGACACATGACTGTACTTACATTTGAGACCAATATTCAACAACTTACTGCTATCAGGACATTAATAAATGATTGTTTGCTTTGTCTTTTTAATTATACATTGATCTTTCATGGTTACCTCCTGAAAAGTAGGAAGTAGAGCTAGGTGTAAGGTATAGCAAAATTATGTAAAATTCAGGCATAGAATATTGTGGCTGTGTATCTCTTTGTCTCTGATTCTAACTCACTCTCTTGTCTCTTATACACACACATATACATGCCATATGCACATACATATATAATATCTATTTGTGTGTGTAGATAAAAATGTATATATCATAACACAATTTGACTACATATTATTTATATAAATGTATAGACTACTCCATAGATAACTCACATATATTTGTCAAGTCTGCTTAGCAAAATTTAAAACAATGGTTGACCATCTCTATTATTTCTTCTGATAAAAGCTTAGTATTTACAAATATGCTTAATTTCAAAGTACTGGTAGATCCCCCACATAAAATCAGTAATGCAAATTGAAAAAAAGAACAGGAATTAGTAGGCCAGGACAAAGGTAAAAAGAAAAACAGCATTTCAAGAACAGATAATTCATGCATTTCTATGCACAATTTTCTATTCTTCTACCAGTAAATTATAGGCATTATAAAATGAAGCTCCAGAAGATTCCAAGATGGCAGCAGATTGAGTGGAAGCTACACTGACACTCCCCCAGGACCAAACTGGAATTACAACTAAAATATAGAAAACCCATCCTGAATAATCAACTGAAGACTAACTGAAGAGAGCCCTCATAATGAAGGCTATAAAGTGGAGACTCCATAGAGACAGGTAGGAAGTGCTGAGGTGTGAGAGGGCAGGTCAGCTCCCACAGAAACCAGCTGAAGTTTCCGAGGGATATCTCAGCTGTAGGGGAGTTCCCACTGAGAATTCAGGGGTCTAAACCCCACGCTGGGCTCCCCAGCCAAGAGCACCAGAACTGAAAAGTTGTCCACATAACACCTGGCTGTGAAAAGCGTGGAGTTTCTGTCAGGGAGGGACACCTGGAAATATAGGCAACATCTTAAAAGTCCCAAGAAACAAAGTTTTGTGTGCAGCCACACACCGTGGGCTCCGGTAGAGGGAGGGCAGAGTGGACTAGAGCTGTGTGAGGAGAATCTAGAATGGTTGGCTCTGGGAATAGAGCTCAGAGGGCAGCCATCTGGATTCCTGTGCTGATTCATTCCCCCATAGAGCCAAGGACATCTTTCTCAGGCAGACATTTACCTTCCAAGCAGCTTTTGCCTGGTGAGGGAAGCAATTGCCCCACCCTGCTGGAAAACCTCTCACCCCACCCTGTAGTTTCTATAACCTGAGGCTCATTAAGAGACTGAATAGCAATCAGCCTCTAAGTGCTTTGAGTCTTTGCCTAATTTGCTTCTGGATGCACAGCTTGGAAAAGCAGAACTTAGTGGGCATCTTGGTCCTTTCCAAAGGCACCCAGCCCCAGCAGAGGGAACTGCAAGTTGTGGTGTATAGAAAGCTTCAAACAGGATACTCAAGAACAGTCACAAACAGCATCTGACATTGGCCTGCACTAGAAACTCTCTAAAAAGCCTTGGAGACTTAGCAGATCTAAAGAAACAAAGCCAAATAGGCAGCCAAAAATGGGGAAACAAAAAACAAGCTCCAAATGAAAAAACAAAGTAATTCTCCAGAAGAAGGGTAAGTGAAATGGAGATTAGCAACCTACCAGATATACAGTTCAGAATACTGATCATAAGAATGCTCAACAGCATGAGAAAAGAAATGAAAACTATGAAGGAAATTAAGGATGACATAGTAGGAATAAAAAATACATTGGAAGGAATAAAGAGTAGATTAGGGGAAGCTGAGGATCAGATCAGCAAATTAGAAGACAGGGTAGAAAAAAAATCACTCAATCATAGAAACAAAGAGAAAAAACAATTAAAAAACAGGAGAGTTTAAGGGAGCTGTGGGACAACACGAAATGTAACAATATTTGCATCATGGGAGTCTCAGAAGATGTAGAAAATAAGCAAGGGTTAGGGAACCTGTTTGAAGAAATAATGGCAGAAAAGTTCCCTAACCTGGTCAAGGAAAAAGTCCCACAAGTTGAGGAGGCACAGAGTCCCAAGCAAGAAGAACCCAAAGAGGCCTATGCCCAGACACACCATAATTAAAATGCCAAAAATTCAAGACAAAGAGAGAATCTTAAAGGCAACAAGAGAAAAACAATCTGTTACCTACAAAGGAGCTCCCATAAGGTTTCAGCTGATTTCTCATCAGAAACTCTACAGGCCAGAAGGGAATGGCATGAAATATTCAAGGTAATAAAAAGCAAGGATTTGAAAACAAGACTACTCTATCTAACAAGACTATCATTCAAGAGAGACAGTGAAATAAAAATCTTCCCAGACCAAAAAAAAAAACCCTAAAGGAGTTTATCACCACCAAACCAGCACTGCAAGAAATGTTAAAGGGACTGCCTTAATAAGAAGTTGAAATAGAAAGGGAAACATAGGCATAAAGAGAAAAAATGGCAGTAGATAAGTACCTATCAATAATAACCTTAAATATAAATGAATTAAATGCTCCAATCAAAACATAGGGTAGCTAAATGGATAAGGAAACAAGACCCAAATATATGCCGTCTATAAGAGACCCACCTCAGAACAAAAGACACACAGGCTAAAAAAAAAAAAACTTCTGGAGGACTTTAAGGGAGAGATAGATAGCAATATAATCATAGTAGGGATTTTAACACCCCACTGACTTTACTGGATAAATCTTTCTGAGGGAAAATCAACAAGGAAACAGTGACCCTAAATGGCACACTAGATCAAATGTATTTAATTGACATTTACAGAACATTTCACCCCAAGGCTGCAGAATATGCATTCTGCTCAAGTGCACATGGGACATTCTCAAAGATAGACCACATGTTAGGACACAAAACAAGTTTCTACAAATTCAAGAAGATTGAAATCTTATCAACCATCTTCTTGGACATTTACACCACGGAATACCATGCCGCTATAAAAAAAGAATGTCTTACACTTTGAGTCAGCATAGTGGGACCTGAAGACTATTATGCTAAAAGAAATGTCAGTCAGAGAAAGACAAGTATCACACGACCTTACTCATATCTGGAATCTAATGAACAAAATAAACTGATGCACAAAATAGATCCAGAGACATGGAAGCATGGAACAGACTGAGGCATCTCAGAGAGAAGGCAGGAGTGGGTGGGTGGGTGGAAAGATATTAACCTAAGAATTTAAATGCATATATGCATAGCCCATGGACACAGACAAAATTGTGGTGAAGGCCTAAAGGTGTGTGTTCAGGGTGGAGGGGAGCAATGTGGATGAAAGTGAACATTTGTAATACTTTCAACAATAAAGATAAATTAAAACATAAAGAAAAATAAAATGAATCAAGTGTTCAAAATATATGAAAATTTAATATATTCTTAAATGTGCTTGCAATTCCATATATATTCACTAGGTCCCTGAAAATACTACAGAAGTGACTTTGGATTCTCCTTTTCTTTCCAGATTTAGATGTCCTAATGTAAGTCATGCTTTTGCATCTGAAGTATCACAACCATAGTCAAGCCTTTGGCCACATAAGCACATATATGTACATTGTCCTTAAATAATAGCTTAAAGTATAAGAATTGTGGTTTGGATAATCATCTGTATAAGAAGGCTTACTCAAGACACATCATCAAGAAGAAATGGTTAAATTCATGCCAAAACAAAACATAACTTCAACCCTTTGTACTCCAGCAACAACTGGACCCTAAGTAAGGTGATCACAGAAACTCACCTAATAAAGGTAAAACAGACTCTAAAAATCATACCTGAATCTGTTGTTCAAAAGGTTTCATGTATCCCGTACCATTATAAACATAAATTCTAAAACTAGGAGGCAAAAAGGTTCTGCAAAATAGATAAATAATATTTAATGAAAATATTGTTTCCTAAGCTTTTATTTTTAAAAGATATTTATTTTGTTATATTTATTATAAATAGGTAGGTAAGCAGGGGTGGGGGTGGGGCTAGAAACAGAGGATGATTCTCTGATTTTGTTCTCATTTCACTCAAAGATCCTATTTTCCAGTCCTCCTCTCACACACTTTATTGCCACACTGTCCTTTTAGCTGTTTTGTTTGTTTGTTTGAATACAACAGGCAAGCTTTTGCCACAGGATATTTGTACAAGTTGTTGTCCCTTCCTGGGATGTTCTTCAGCATGGCTCCTTGTCTCATTTACTTCAAGCCTTTCCTTATACATCAACTTCTCAGTGAGGCCTATATGATAAGTTTATAAAAAATTCAACTTTCCCAATTATCAAGCACTGGATTTCCAAAAGATATTTTCACTTTGCTCTATATTTTTGCTAAAACATTTTAACACTCTTCCTAATCTGCTTATTTCTTATATCATTATTAGAGTCATCTACTAACAATATGAACTCAGAGATTCATTTCCATTTTGTTTACTAATGCATCTCAAGCATTTAGAAGAATATCTGGAAATAGCAAATGATCAATAAATACTGACCTAATATAACATTAATTCAACAGATTAGATGGCATCTGAAATTAAAATATATTACTTATATATCTGAGAAAAATATGCTTAAAGGGCTGTATAAAGAGAAAGGTAGGTGTAGTTATCCCATTTTCACTTTCCCAAACAAGTATAATATAAAGATTGTGACAGCCATGAGAGTCTGGATTTGTTGAAACAACAGGTCCAAGAACCAAGCCACTGACAAGCAGAGTAAAAATTTTATCTTCTAGTATAACAAAAAAGAAAATGACCCACCATAAGGTGGGACTCCAGGGAACATACCAATTCTGAGTTGAAAGCCCTGTAAAGAAATTTAGCTGGTGATATGCAGGAACTATTTTTTGGCAGGGAAAGAAAGAATACAAAAATCCATGTTTGCCCCAAGGAGGAAGCCACTATTTGGAAGCCTAGAAACAAGCAGAAATTTGGGGGGTTTTGTAGGCCTGGAATAAAATATTAAACAGTTTAAATGCATCAAAATATAACTTCCTTCCCTTTAAAATCATTTGCCAAATTTTGAAGTCACAGAGAGAGGCCAAAGAGCTAAACAAAACTTAAAATCTTTGAAAATAAGAGCAAATGTTTTTTCAAAATTGACAATACAGAATTACAGAATATGTAATTCAAGCATGATATAAGAAAGAAGAATCACACTTTAAATATTTTTAGAAGACTGATAAAAACTAAAATAACAACTTCAAAATGTCAAGAGAGAGAAAAAATTATGTCCCCTTCAAAGAAATAGCAATAAGATAAGCAGGTACCTTGTCAATAGAAATGAAGAAAGCCAGAAGACAATGAAATGATAATTTAAAAGGACTAAAGTCATTTTTTAAGTCATCCTAAAATTTATTCCAGCAAAAAAGTTTTTAAGAATAGGGTTAAGGCTCAGCTGCTCTGCCTCAGTGGTTGAATGTCACCCCATGAACCAAGAGGTCACTGGTTCGATTCCTAGTCAGGGCACATGCCCGGGTTGCAGCTCCATTCCCCAGTAGGGGGAGTGCAGGAGGCAGCTGATTGATGATGTTTCTCTCTCATCGATGTTTCTATCTCTCTACCCCTTTCCCAATCTCTCTCTATAAAAATCAATAAAATCAATAAAAACATATTTAAAATAAAAGAATAGAGTTAAGTAAAGATTTAACAATGAATGCTAACAAATATAATTAAAAAGAAGCAGACAAGTAATAGAAATACAAAGAATTCCTGAGACATGAAAATTAACTGCATATAGAACCAGAAATGCAAGAAGAAAAAAGAGCACCAGAATGGGTACATTTATGGTTAAATATAAAGGAATAATGTCTTTACTAAAAATAATAATCTCTCAATGGGGTTTAAAAGTATGCAGAATTATGATACATAATAAAATAATGAAAAGGTAGACAAAGGCAAGTGAAATTAAACATTTAAATGAGATTCCTCATGAACGCAGACAATAGTATGGGGATTCCAGGGGGTGGGAGGGATGCGGGGTGGAGGGGATCAATGGGGGGAAAAGGGAGGACATCTCTAATACTTTCAACAATAAAGATAAATTATTTTTTTTAAAAAGTTAAATGAGCCCTGGGAGTTTGGCTCAGTGGCTAGAGCATCGACCTGCAGACTAAAGGGTCTGACTTGATTCCAGCCAAGGGCACGTATCTTCATTGCAAGCTCAATCCATGGCCCCAGTTGGGGCACGTGTTGGAGGCAACCAATCAATGTGTCTCTCTCACACTGAAGTTTCACTCTCTCTCTCCCTTCCACTATCTCTGAAAACCAATGGAAAAAATATCCTTAGGTGAGGATTAAAAAAAAATTAAATGATCTAACAATATAGGGTAATTGGTAAAAGTGTATATTAGATGCAATAACTCAGGAATTAATATATTAATCTAGAGAAACTACTAAAAGAAGAGTAAAAGACTCTATAACAAAAAAATTAATAGAGGATAAATGGTGTAATATAAAATAATAGATTCATGAATTACTATATCATTAGTTGTATTATATATTCTATACTTTTTTTCCTAATATAAAAAAGAGCTTAAGAAATTAACTACTTAAATAAGAGAAAAGAATAGAAATCAACTACTATTACTGCATTTTAATTCAGGTCTTCTTATATTTCTAATTAATTATACTATACATATTTCAAAATAAATGTTCAACAAATATTGTGCCTGTGATACTCATATTCACAGGATGCTTTAGGCATGACCAATGGCTCATTCTCATGCCCATCACTTGGCATTCCAAAATAGTGGCTGACTATGAGATTCTATCTGGATTTTCCCAATGTATTTCTTGCAAAAATGCAGTTTTTTGTTTTTTTTTTCTCTTTAGGAAGAAGTAATTTTGAGTCAGTTTTTAATGTCTTCCTTCAAACTAGTATCACTCATTTTACATACAAAAAGCATTTTCCAAGCTTTATAATGTATGAAAAGATTGCAAATATAAATTCTAGAAATGATACAGATCTACTTCTTGTTCTTGTTTTGATTTGGTAATTTCACTTTCAGACTTCAGCCTGTCATTTATTTTTGGAAGTCTATTCTTATCATTTAAAAAAGGACCATTACAATTTTGATGTTTCTTTATTCTTTAGTATGTTATGCTTGTTTTCCCCAAATTTATTAGCTGGCATGGAATTGAGTTTGGCTAATTATAAATATATTCTAAAACCTTAAGACATTATGACATTGTATGTAAACTTCTTTCAAATAGAATTGAATGTAAAGAAACTGAAAAACAAGTCATACTTATGTTTTGATACAGATAGAAAATCATCAAAATTCATCCCCTATGGAACAACATGGATAGCCAAAAAAGGGCGAAGATGGGAGCTTACACTATGGATTCAGGTTCTTTAGTATATAAATTCAAGATTTATTACATAAACTTTTAAGTTTTTAAAGGATAAAATAAGAGATAATGAAAAGCCAGTAACTTGAAACATTTACAAATGCAAAATAATGAAATTCTGGATAATTACAAATGAAAATTATAAATAAAACAAATATAGATCACCTACTTTTGTACCAGGTTCAGAGTGTATGTTTTCCCATTAATTACAATGTTGTAGGACACCTAGCAGAAGAGTATATTAAAAAGGCAAAGAAAAGTGAGAAAAAATTAGAAAACTATCATTTTATATTGACAATAATTGCACTCTAACATACAATAATACAATAAAGAGAATTTACAATTTAATATTGATGTATTTCAATGGAATTTGATATAAAGTTTTTTTCATAATAAAAATTTGTAGAATAATATCATTTGTCTAATTTCTTATTTGTGAACTTTTAAATTTATTCGATAAAATAGAATCTCAAAATTAATTTTTTTCATCCAATAATTGTATCTAAATAAAGATGGATACCATTACAACACTTATGCTTAAAATAGGTGAGTATAACTAACTTACTCAATGGAAAATGTATGTAGTAGAGCAAAGAATTAACAGCACTTAGTGTATAATACTTGTAGATTTTAAAATGTCTGTTTCAAGTTTAGATGCAATACTCATTGATCTATTTTATTAATATTAGGATTAGGAAATGATGTCTACCAGATGGACAATTTAGTCTTTATACATCAATTTTGGGAGTGTTGAGATTTTTATATTATAGGCCTTCCAGTCCATGAACATGGAATACATTCAATTTATTTAGATTTTTAATGCCTCTCATCTTGTTTTACTGTCTTCAGTGAGGAGATTTTGCTTATCTTTGTGAGAATTATTTGGATATTGATTTTATGCAGTGTCAAGCGTAACTTTTTAAATTTTTTATTTTTGCTTTGCAGAATAGAAACATAATTTTTATATTTTCATCTTTTTTCCAGAGAATTTACTAAATTATTATACTATTTCTTATTTTCTCTAGGTCATTTTGGATTTTATTTTGTATACAGTAAGTTTATCTGAAAGTAATTATAGTGTTATTTCTTCCTTTCCAAGTGTTATGTTGATTTTAAATGTTCCTTGTTTTCTGTTTTTGCACTGGCTACTCTTTCCAGAAGAATAATAAATAGAAAATGTAATAGAGTGCATCCTGTTTCTTTGTTGATCTCAGGAGAAAAGCTTTCAATATTATAACTTTATGCATTTTTTTTTAAAGGCAGTTGGATTTATTTATAAGTCTCAGTTGACTATCATTTTAAGTTATTACATGGTTTGGGCTAACATACATTAAAGAAAACTGTATAAATTTCTTGTCACCAATTTCTATATCAAAAAAATAAAACCATGCCTGGATAATGTGACTCAGCAGTGGAGCATCGACCTGTGATCTAGGACACTGTGGTTTGATTCCGCATCAGGGCACATGCCCAAGTTGCAGGCTCCATCCCCAGTGGTCGGGGGGAGGGAGGAGAAG